CATCGGCCTGTTAAAGCCACCTTCAATTGGGAGACCATTTGGCAGTACGGTTTTAAACTGTTCAAGCCTGCCCCTCTTGTGTTTCCGCCAGGTTTTTCACCTCAAGAACCTGACTCCGATTGTGGTTTTCCTTGCCATGAGGACATTGAAGGCAAATGGCATTTTGCCAATCGTGTGTGCCTTGACACTCTCCTCCAGCAGGGAGCATCTTGGGGTCCGGGCTTTCAGGAACGAGGGACAGCTGTTCGGACCAGACCTAAACAGATTTGTCCAGGTCAAGCTCACAATGGTGCTGCCACAACCCAGCGAGCTTCATGGCTCTCCAATGCTTTGCGGGGCCTTTTGGAGATGCAAGCCTTCCATACGCAAGACATACAGTCCAGTACTAGGCGCTTCATTTGTCACCGCACTATCGTTAAGACTTGGTCCCGCCTGTTTTGGCTTCGTGCACCATGTTTGTGGCCCTATGAACGTAGTCCCACACTCATTGAAATTGCCCAGGCCATCCAGTGGGTGATTGACACCCAAGCAGTCCTTGAACTTAAGTGCAAACTTCGACGTATCCAAGCGTGGAAGGCTAAAATCCAGGACTCTGCCAAGGTTGGCTCTGCTTATCTTTTTCGCCATCTTCGGAACAAAAACACCGAGGAGCCTGCGAACTTGATCGTTGATAAAGACAAGAACATTGTCTTTGGCCCTAATGATGCCATCCACGAGATCAATCGACAGTGGGATTCTGTTTATAGCGTGAATGCTGGCTTTCCACACCCACTAAAGATGTTGGAAATTGTTTGGCCGCAAATCCACTGCTTCTCCCATGTTTGCACAGTCCCAGAAATTTCGGCGGCTGCACTTCATGAAACTGTCAAACAGAGGCGGGCCGATGCCGCCCCGGGGTTGGATGGCTGGAGAACTGTCGAAATGCAAGCACTACCGGTGAAGTGCTTTGAGCCATTTGCATTGCTGTTTCGTGAAATTGAAGAAGGTAACACTCCGCTTCCGCAGTCCCTTGCCACAGCCAAACAGATTATCCTTAATAAGAATGGCAGCTCCGAACCGCTGCAGAAAAGACTCATCACTTTACTGCCAGTCATTCTTTTAGCCTACACAGGAGCTCGCTTCAAGCATCTACGTGAGTGGCAACTTCGTGTCACGCCCACCCAATTGCAAGGTGGCATTCCGTCGCGCCAGATGTCTGCCATACACACACACTTCGCACTCACGATTGATGCTGCTAAGGAGGCAGGTGACCCACTCATTGGTGTAAAGATTGATAAAGCAAAATGCTTCGACCGGATTTTGCCGCAGCATGCTGGAGTCTTGATGCTCACTTTTGGCGTCCCGCAGTGCATCGTCTCAGTCTTTTTGAAGCTTTATAGCCAATTGGAACGCCACCTTCAATTTAAGTCTTGGTTTGCTCCAGTAGCCACCCATGGTGCCAATGGGGTTGCCCAAGGATGCTCTTTATCCTTGATTGCTGTTAATGTCCACATGAAAGCATGGGTTCACTTACTTGAAGCACTTCCGAATGTCACAGCCAAAGCTTTTGTGGACGATGCTTATTTGTGGACGCGCCTCATACACAGCCACCTCATACACAGCCAAGATTTGTTCCAAGCAATGCGCATCACGCAGTTGTGGGATGAACTGGTTGGCCAAACGATCAACCATTCTAAATGTACCTTCTGGGGGTCCACTGGAGCCGCACGTAAGTGCGTTAAGTCCCTTTTTCCCCAGATGCAAATTGCTTTGGAACTTGAAATCCTTGGTGTTCACGTGCGCACCAGTGACCGCACGGCAATGCATTTCACAGAGGCAAAATGTGCTAAAATTGTGGCCGATATCAAAAATATTGGGGCGCTCCCCATTTCGGTTGCACAAAAGGCCAAGGTTATCGGGTGTAAAGTTATTCCACAATGTACTTACAATTCAGCCATCAATGGCATGCCTACCAAGATGCTGGCCAGAATCCAAGGTGAGATTGTTAATGTTCTGTGGAATAAAAGGCCTCACTGGCGTTCGCGTTTCTTGGTCTTCGCCTTTATGGCGCAACCCCATCGAGTTGAGCCACTGTGTGCACGGCACTACAACGTCATTCTTGACTGCTACAGATTTCTGAACCTTTTTCCCCACGAGGTTCCTCGCTTTCGATCGTTGCTCCAGAAAGCCACACCTTCTCGCTTTTCGGTTGCTCAAAGCCTTAAGCAAGCCTTCCGCTTTTTCAGCTTGGAGCTAGCTAATGATGGGAGCATCCTTTTCCGAAGCAAGAAAATTGTTGATTTTTTGGCCTTATCAGTTCGTGAGATCAAGCCAGTCTTGAAGCAACTTGCACGCCAAGCTTGTTATGCACAAGCCTCCCTGCAATCACGCAAGGATTTCCTTGCACCGGGCGGCTTTCTTGACTTTCACTGGTCGACCTTGTTTGTTCGCAAACCAAGCTTCTCGGTTGAGGGTTTGACGCCTGTTACGGCGTTCTTTCAAGCACAACAGGTTGGGTGTGTTTTGACCAATGACCGCTTGGCTGCAGCCAAACTTGTCGACAACCCTGCTTGCCGCCTCTGCCATTCGGCCAAAGAGTCCCTCCCACACCTAGTTCGAGAGTGTCCAGTTGTGCAGCACGACTTTCCACCACCTGTTGCCCATGAACTTGGCCGCAACTTTGAGCTTCTTGGAATAGTGGAACACCCATGGTCGATCTTGGCGCATCGTTTGCAAGTCAGCGACGTTGACACAATCAACTGCCCTACGTGGACTGATGTAAAGCCTATCTCAACCCTGTGGACGGATGGTTCCGTTCTTTGGGCTTCACATTTTGCCCTAACTTGTGCAGGTTTTGCTGTGGTCAACAGTGACAAAGAAATCGTCGTGTCCGGCCCCGTTTGTCACTGGTCCATTTCCAGCTACACCGCAGAGCTTTGGGCTTTGTTTCACGCTTTCATTTCTGCAGAAGGACCAGTTGTGATTCGAAGCGATTGTAAGACCCTCGTCGACCAAGTTGCTTGGATGTGTCGCTTTCAAAACATTGAGGCTGAGTGGTCTCACCGCAACTGGTGGCGCTCCTTGTTTAATGTGTGGATCAAGCGATCTGCCATTGTGCCGTGTCCCCTTCAAGCTGTTTGGGTGCCTGCTCACCAATTAGAGAGCATTCCGGAACATTTAATTGATGAAGACATGGCACGTGCCCATGGTTCTACGGTGCTAGATATTGTCGTGAATAGAGTGGCTGATCAAGCCGCCAAGCGTGCAGCTGCTGCCCACGCACCCATTTATGATTGCGCCTATCAGAAAGTGGAATCTGCGGTTGTACAGCGCCAGGAGTGGTTGACCCGCCTGTGTCATTTGCTTGGCCAAGACATTCACAAAGAAATTCATGAGACAGAAGATGAACGACTCGAGGAGACCTTGACCCCAATGGAACAATTTCCCCAGTTGTTGTGGCAAGCCGACCCGTCTACCTTTTCTTGGAAGATTCATTCTGCATGGCCACCACCCTTGCCACAGTGGACGGGTACAGATGAAGATTGGCAAAGTTTTGGCACCTTCCTATCTCTTCTCCATTGGTCATGCGAGGAGGGAATGCGTGTCTCGTATACAGAACTTGCGGTACTCTTTGTCTTTCTTCAGGTCCCTTGCTCCTTGTTTGCAGATGAACACTTCACCTTTCAAGCGCTAGCGAAATGGATCAAGAATTCCTTTGCGCTTTGTCGAAGGAAGCTTCCCTTCGATTGTTCACCAGGCAAACATGAGGCTCATATTGCCCATACGTGGGGGAAAAGCATGCCACCTGGCACCATTTGTGGAGGCCGCCCCTTCTTTTCGGATGCTGCGTTGCATTTGTTGGTTAGGGTGGCTCGCAAGGTCACTGGTGCGGCAATGTCCGCGTGGAACTTCCCTGTTGCGGAGTTTCGATGATCGCTTGTTTTGCATGTACAAAGGATCTTTTCGCATATCGTCCAGTGGAAAGCTGGCGATACTGGTCACCTCAAAGGGGTTCGAACGTGGCCGCGGGAGGTAGAAGAGGCTTTACCACACCTGTTTTGGGGTGGCGGCCTACCTTAGCTGCTGCTTGAAGAAGCCGAATGAACCATTGGACTAGCCCAGACTGACCTGAGCGTTGGCTCCTTTTTCTCAAGCGACTGGGTGTTTGGCGAAGTAAAGATGTTTGTGTGCAAAGGATTCGATAGTTACAATTTCAAGTGCAAGCGCAATTCAGTCAACTTGAGCTTGGCCAGTGTGAGGTATGATTGAGGCAACGGTTCGACAGTTTCGAACTGTTGCCTCAATCATGCCTCACGACTATGATTGAGGCTTGCCTGGCAGTCTGAGGAATGCCCGCGGGTGGCATGAGAAGGCTTACTGGAGGGCCACTACTGCAGAACCCTATAGACTATCCTATAGGTACTCCTGTAGGGTCCTATAAGGTCACTTACTGCAGGTGCAACACGGCACTTGGCTTCCGGAACCCGGGGAATGTGCTCCGAACCAGGGCTCGGAGGTGAGCTCGGGTGTGGTGAACCAGGGCAGCCCCGCTACTACCAAAGGATGACGGCTTCTGTGGCACCCTGATTATCAGGGTGTCAGGGACCACTGCTCGTCTCCTGTGGAATGTTTACAAAAAGGCCGGAGTACACTGCCCTGGGAGTCCAGTCAACTAGTTTAAAAAGGGCCTGACTATATAGATGAACTGAAGTCCGGAATTTCCTCAACACTTGGGCGGTGCCAAGCATCGTCGAACTGGACTTCTAGGGCATCTTGAATCTATACCAGCACTCTCACCTGGAGGGCGCTGTTTTTTTTGTGTATTTGAATGGATGCTTTGTTTGCGCTTCTGTTGCGTAAGGCTGCCGGCTGCCAGGCTTGGTCAAAAACACGATGGCAATGCTCAAGAGCCACCGGGTGTGTAGAATGGACGCGTCAGATGGCAAGCCCCACAAGACTCCTGCCAGGCCACATGTATGCAACCACCAGGAGTTCTTTACAGCCCAGCAAGGGCGATGTAGAACTCGGCCAGGCCACATCGGAGTACTGCGCTGGTGCTCAACGCTGCATTCCAGCAGCCCTGGCAGGCGGTGCTGGTGATTTGGTTGATTGAGCGGCCGAGATCAGTCTACTTTAAATAGGTTCCCTCCCCCCAAAAAAGAGGACATATCAGAAGATCATGCCTTCCAGTCTTCCAATAAAACCTGGTGAGTTTCCAAAGGTGAACATGTTGGGCAAGGAATTTCACGGTTTTCACTGTCAGGCCCAGCGAGCATAGGCCCAGATAAAGATAGAAACCCAGGCAAATTATTGTTGACCTACCCAGGAAAAGTGGACAACCTTTAACCTTTTATTGAAAATTTGTTTCCCAACTAAACACGAACAGGTGGACAGTTTGGTTAACCTTTATTTTGAAGGAGAGTGATGATGCTTTCGTCACGTGCGAGGTCGACACGTACCCCTTTTCGAGTTCCTAAAGGTAGCAAGCCACAGGAGGGGTTGGACCCATACAGAATGGGTCTTACTCCAGGTGTGAGGTGTTTTGATTGATAGTCATCCCGGCGGATCGTGCTGCACTGGGGAGTGATTTAGACCTACTCAAGGGTGGCCACTTCCATGACTGTCGGAGGGAGGGTAGGCCGCAGGATGCCCAGGATACCCCCGTGGCAAACTCGCAACCGAGATGCGGTGCGCGTTTGACGCAAGACGGACGCCACGGTATTTCTGGTGTGACATCATGGCAAGGCTACAAGCCAGTGTGTTTCTTTCATTCCCTAGAGCTTCAAGTAGCTCCTGAAAACCCATCTTAAACACTTCCCAAGAAGGCAGTTGGAGCCCTGAGAAGTAATTAATTCATTCTTGTCCATCAACTGTCACCGAGTCACCACCACTCCTGACGTGGCTTTCTTGGGAGGCGGGTCCAACGGGCTTGGCAGCTGCTCGGCGGGAAGCAAGGATAGCTCACTACTGGGCACATGGATTGGAGAATTCCCTGCATCCTTCCCACTTTCACCACCACCACCCCAGCACCAGCCAGTGGCTAACTGGTCTTTTTTGAGTGATTTGTTTGTCCGCCAAAAATGGCAGGTGGAAATAGAGCCGGTCAGAGAGTTTGAAGAACAGCGCTTGGACCTGTGTAGATGCGGCAACCCGGTCACGCACCGAGGACAGTAACCTCAGTCCAGTTGGACGTCCACGGCTCAAATAGGGACAATTCGGTGCTTGCAATACATCCCAGAAACTCCATGTGGGACTGGCATATATGCAAACATTGGGGTGGTTATTCCATACATGGGAGGGGCATAGGGCATTGTTCGAGGCTTTGACTCGGTTTGCCGCCACCTCTTGACTCGACATGACACCCATGCAAACGTGTAGGACGCTTCGTCAGAGGGTTCTTTGCCACAACCTGTTTGATCACAAACGGATCTTGTCACACCAATTTGGGGCCGTCAGAGGAGGCTTTTCAAGCGGGATTGCGGCGGTGGGTGGGTGGTGCTGCTGGAGGCTGCTGGAGGCTGCTGGCTGCTGCTGCTGGCCCTAGGGATCCACCATACCGAACCTCAAAAGGTACAACTGGACCCTGGTACTTAAACGAGTCTCCAATCACCATTAGAGGCTACACCAGTCAGTCAAAAGGGTCATCAATCACGATGGTTTGAGATGGAAAGGGCATCATCCACCCACCATCATCCAGCATCCAGCCACCTACTTGGAACCTGAAAAGCACCTGCCGTCTGAGGAGCGCTCGCAGGCGGGGTCCCGCCGCTGGTTCGCGCGGCCCCCCGCCGCGTTCGTGACGCAGTTCGTGACCTACTGGTGTGGTCGGTGACGGTGACCGGGCGTTCTTGGACTGCTGGTAGTTGCGTTGAACCACGGAAAGAAACCAAGTAAGTGGATAAATTGTGGATATAAGATGATATAAGAAAGATAGACTGAACCACCAAAATGTTTGAGTGAAACATTTGGGGAACCACATGCATACGTTTGTCTATGGTTCTAGTAGGTTGCCTGGTGGCATCACTCCGTCAAGAACATAAAAAAGGGCAAGACGACTCGTACCTACCAACGCTTCGAAGCCGTCGGCCGGTTGTTGGGGCCGGACTCCCTCAGTGATCTGAGTGAAGCTGCTAGGTAATAGGAGGCCAGCCATATCATTCATGACTCCAGTGTATGTGCTGGGCCTAAACTTGGCTTTTGCTTGCAGTTCATTTTTCTCCCTTGGAGAATCGGAGAAGATTGTTTTTTTTGTTCCGGGTTCTGGGACAGCAAAATCCAGGTAAACCATGTACAGATTGCCATCGAAATGCCACCAATTCCTTCCTGGACCAAACCTTCGAGTTCAACACATCAGCTGTCAGCCCTGATGAATCGGCATCCTCCATGGGAGTTCATTGAGCAACTAGGCTCGGTCAAGCGTGTGAACAACCCGTGCGATTCTAACGGGCGCTCGTCGAATTGGAACTCTCCCGCCCGCCCGAACGAAGGGGTTGATCTAGGTCCACTTCGTCAGGGGTTGGGTGAAGGGCTTGATAGAGCTCAGGTCAAGCTGGATGGGCCTGGAGATGGTGTCTAACCCAGACACTCCATGTTTGCTTGGCCATATGTGCCGATCAATTGACCCCAGGTCCACCACCCCAGGTCCCGTTTCTCGGCAGTCCGACATGGCAGTCCCATGTGTCGTGTTTGGGTAAACCTACAGAGGTTAAGTGACCTTATAGGACCCTACAGCAGTACCTATAGGATAGTCTATAGGGTTCTTCAACCTCTGCTGGAAGTTCTTTTTTGCGTTTCCAGGTCCACCTCGCACAGCTCACGGCTTATTGCCTGGGCCGGGGCGCCCCAAGTCGGGTGGGTGACGGCCAGGGTGGCGTGACGGCGGTCGGGGTGTGTGTGTGACGAGCTCCCCGTTGGCACAAAGGATCGGAGTGCAAAGGGAAGCAGTTGTTGGAAGCTGCTATCACACCCAAGCCTCAACACAGTAAAGGAACAATTTGGAAGTATAGCGAAGAGACGCGAAGAGCAAACCCAAACATCATCAAGCACCCAAACAAAGGATGACAAACAATTCAACCATTGGACTCCGCGAGATGCATCAGACCAAATAGTGAGTCTCCGTGCAAATATGACTCCTTGTTCAATGTGTTGCCCCAGCTTCTGAAGCTTCTGAAGGTGACTGAGTCGTTGGACCACTTGCAGGTGATTCGATGGACTCTGGAAGGCATGCTGCGTGCAGCATGTCTGGCTCCGAACTGGATGGATCACAGATCAAGTGACCGGTCACCAGCACGCATGGACCAAAACAAACACGGGCCAAATGATCTTCGGCCTGCCACTTTAGCCATACTTCAAGATCTTTAAGACAAGGACCATCAGAGGTTGAAGGACCCGTAGTTCGCCTATCCCAGTCTGGTACCCCAAGTGACGGGTCCTATTTACGGTCACTGGCTACCTCTCTTGACTACTTTGAAGTTCGATTTCCGGCATAAGCCAATTGAGGGGTCCATGGCGTCGGCATTTCGCATACTGCCCATGGAGAAGACCAGCTCGTCGACGGGTCGCTGGCAGACACTCTCAGCCTATGTGTTGATACCGCTGATGATCCTGGCAGCTTGCGTGCTGACCAGAAACAGCATGTTGCAGAGGAAAGCTGCGAACTCACCGAGTGTGCTGCTCAGTTGTGGAGACTTGGCTGCAAGATGTTGCGAATTTGTGAGCTGCACTACTGATGTGCAGAATTCAGAACCTCCTAAAGCCCTGCAAACCTTTCTGGAGCTTCAGAGCAGGGGTATTTGCGGCTATATGTTCATGTGTGCAAGCCAGACTCAACTGCGTTATATCCAAATAAATTTATTGACAAACTGAACTGTATTGCAACACCAGATGTAGTTCAAGGGCCATGTCAAGGGATGTTGCACTGGATATACTGTTGCCCGCTCATGGCCATTGGCATGTCGGGGGCCTTAACTCATTCCAAACAGTAAGACCGACCTTCTTGTAGAGCCTGCAGCCCTCAGCCGTCACCCAGCTGTCACCTGAAAATCCTCCACAGGGTGGTTGCGCCTTTGAAATCATTCCACAAGAAGCATCCCATTTTCGAACCATGTTGAACCTATAAGTTCATCTCCACAAAACGACCTCCTTGGCAGGTCGCCTCTCGGGCGTCCAAGACGCCGGCGTCGCCGCCTTCCGCGGCCTCCGCTACGGCGAGGCCCCGCTGGGCCGCCGCCGCTGGCGGCCGGCGGCGCCAGCCGCGTGCGCGGCGGGGGAGGCCACGCAGGAGCTGGAAGCGGTGGGCGTTTTCGTGGAAAGTGACCTGCGCGGTGAAGTGTTCATGGTGCGAAGAGCGGTATTGGTATTTGTATGTATTTGTTTTGTGGGGTTTTCTCTGAGAAATTGGTGGGCCTCTGGAAGTCCAGGACGGTTTTTAAACATGGTCTTCCCCAAAAAGAGATGTCCTTTAATACCTCGGTGGCACCTGTAGGACTTGTAGGAGAAGCGTTTTGTTGCCATTTGGGCTTTTAGGTAATTATATGCCCAATGATCCCCAAATGGTGGTGTTCCTTTTCGCTCAAAAGTTTGCTCAAAGATGTTTGGGATCGGATCCGCAGCTTCCACTTGCCATTGAAAAAGCAGTCCATTTGAGGATTTTGATGTTTCGACGTGAGGATGGTCCGAGCTGTCGACAGGGCGGAGGTCCCGGAGAAAGTGAGGACAGAGCTGAGCACAGGAAGACGGGGACCTCATCGGTTGGAAGCACACCATTGTCCACCAATTTACATGGAAGTGTTTTTCACCACCTGTTTGTAGATGTTTGTAGCAAAAAGTAAACATTGTGTGTTTTCTAGGGGCTATGTGGCTATGCCATCGACTTTTCATATTATTTTTGGGAGAGTGGAATGGTTCGTGCCGATTTTACACTATAAAACCAACGTCAACCATGGGAAGGGCAGGGGAATTATCATTCGCAGGGAGCATTTTCGCCATGTTTTGAACCACTGTCCAACAGATGTGTGGCAACGGGTTGGTTGTCAGCCCTAAAGCGGCAAAAACGCAGCACCAGCGCAGATAGTCTGCGCAGCTGCAAGATGTTAAAAATCGTTCTGATGATGAATTATCAAAGGGGAGGGACTCATTTTATCTCCTTTTACTAGTAGGCTGGAGGCCATTACTAGTAGGTTGGAGGCCGTCACTACTAGGGTGGAGGCCATCGCTAGTAGGTTGGAGGCCATTGGTTGTTTGGGCCACCAACCCCTGCACCAACCTGACGGACATGCGGCAGGACTGCCTCAACCTGAATGTTTTCGTCCCGTCACTGGCCCTGAAATTTCATTAACATTCTACAATGCCTGGAACAAACATTGAAGTTGATTCCTTCACTGTGGTTGACCTCCCATGGGCAATCCATGCGCCACGACCCAGGTCTAGATTGTTTGAGGGCACGCAGGGCGCGCCTTTGCTGACTTCGTTGCCGGTCCTCGTGTGGATCTATGGGGGAATGAACGTCATCGGTGATGTGGAATTCTATGGCCCGATCGAGTACCTTAGTCAAAGCATCATAACCACAGGATCCCTAGAGTCGTCGCGCTTCCAATGGGTGTCCTGTTTGGGGACCTGTAAGATCCTGTAAGTAGTGTAGGTTGTCCATTGGTGAAGCCATGAAAGCAGATAATAGCCAAAAGCATCAATCAATTGTCAAGTTGTGGTTCCTTGCTGGTTTTGGTCAAGTGTCAATCATGTCAAATCAGAGGAGTTTTATTTGCGTGTGTGTTTTACTTTGTTACCCGTGGGTTGGCCATGTTGAATGCACAAAACATGGGTGATCCCAGAAAAAAAAGTTATTCGCTCGCAGGAACATCGTCCGCAAGCGCGACTGCGTGCTGGTGGCGATGAATTACCGTTTGGGCATTTTTGGCTATCTTGCTTCTTGGTTGCAGTAGCTTAGCCTCCCTGGACAAGATCTGGGTCAGTTTTGAGAAGCCCCCTGAATTGATTTTCTTATCCTGGGATGCCCACTATGCGTGTAATTACATGTTCATTTACATACATTTGCATTGTTTAAACTACTGTAATAGGTTGATTTTTAACCACCATGAACAACCACGAGTTTTACCAAGAGATCCTCTCCACTGGGCTTCGGCCAGACATGCTCGGCGTGCTCAACGACGACCTCCATCAACCAACAGAGGTGGGTCAGGACCCGACTGTTCGACTATCATAGTTGGGTACCCGAGTCCCCCAGTGAGGTCCTATTTACGGTCACTGGCTACCTCCCTTGGCATCTCCCCACCACCTCCGGCGAGGTGGTCTTGGAGTCGGTTGGGGGTCCGAGTGAAGGGGAGTCCGTCGATCCAGGCGCGAGATACGATATGTCAAATGGATCCAAATTTTAATGTTTACAATCGTTTACACACGTGATATATGTACTGCATAAGTTAAGGCAAGTCATACCAACAGAGGTGGGTCAGAACCCGAGTTCGACTATCCCAGGCCAGGGTACCCCAGGTTTTCCGGGTCCTATGGTCCCGGTCACTGGCTACCTCGGCAGGGGAGAATTGGGTGACAGAATGGGAAGGACCTCCTTTGAACCTTTCCTGGCGCCATCAGAGCCCCAGAGTGCATCCGACCGCGACGTGGACCGCTTGTCCAGTGACTCAGATGAAGTGGTTCAACGAAACCTTTGAAGGCTTCGAGAGACCAAACACCTGTAAGACGTTTGTCAGACGTTTTCCACTTGTAGTCACTATATGATGCCACAAGTTACCCCAGGTTTTTTGGCTTACATGGAGCCCCATCGAAAAGACATGTAGGGGGTTGTGCCATCTACTCTGAAACCAGCCTTGTAAAAATGGGCCATAACTGGTGCTGGCACGATTTTGGCACGGGGCAAACCATCGCCCTAGCCTGCAAAGACCATTAAAAGGTCGACCCGGTTTTTGTAGTCAGAAGCCCTTATATAGTAAAACAGCTTGGCGCTTTGGGATTCTCATTTAAAAAAACACAGGGGGGTAACCACTAAACCTCTTTCCTCACACTCCGCCGGAGCGGAGTCCGGTGCTTCCCCTGATGAGGCTTTGAAGGAATTGGCCACCGTCGATCCCCGGGGCAGCAGCGGCAATCTGGGCATCACTGATCAGCAGCTGGCCTTGCACTGGGTCCAAGAGAACATCGCGGCCTTTGGTGGCCTGCTTTGATAAAAACATGCGTTTCTATGTGTTTCTGTTTTGTTGTTGGTGTGTTATTCTTAAAGCATGTGTTTCTTCTTGTCGTGGGTGCAACTATGATTAATGTTCAAAAAGGTGGTGGGACCCCCCCCATGAGACTCATCAAGACAAGGACAATCTTGAAGTCTTCAAAGATCCCAATTGTGTGTCTTTTTGTTGGGAGGCAAACAGGGGAAAGTATGTTCCAGGCATTGTGTTCATGACCATTTAGTGCATTCTTCCATTCAGACGAAATCCAATGAAATCAACGAGTCTGAAATGCTGTTTGCATGGGATGTCCTTTTAATACAGAACTGATATAACAGTTCCGAGAAATTGCTTGGACTTTATCACGCCAAAGTGGCGTAATCCTACACATGACCTTTTCCTGCGCCACAGATGCGACGACAGGTGGTGACCCGAAGAAAGTCACCCTCATGGGGCAAAGTTCCGGCGGATCCAATGTCTTTGCCCATTTGGCCTCCCTAGGACACTTGGGAAGCAGCTAAAGACCCCATGGGACTGTAATATGTACCTGGCCCTGAAACCTTGGCCAATGTAGGTAAATATGCCAGTCCCATGCAGTCTTTGGGCAATATGAAGCAGATTTCCGGATGTTGCGCGATTG